CCTCGGACTCCAAAGAACCTCCCCAAAGGAGGCCGCGGCCTCTTCGGTGGCAAAGGAGGGGGGCCCGACCCACCCGGGCCAAGAGCAAAGCCAACCCTCAGCCGCACAAGGGGGCCCGACCCACCCTAGCGAGGCCCAAAGTGAACAAGCAGGCCACACGGCGAGTCCGACTCACCCCAAAAGTGAGGAGGGCCTCTCCAGGCCAACATGGCCGGTGGAAGTGGGGGACAAACCCCTGATCCTCTTCACGCCACATGTGGAGGTCTCACAACACTATCCATTGGCTTGCTCAGGTTGGGGATTCGCTCGCCCTAAGCGGTTTCAGCGACTGCTATGCCCTCCTTGGAATAGGGGGCAGCCGGGCAACCTTCGAATGCCCGGGAAATCCCGCCTTGTGCTGGAAACTCACTTCCAGCGAGCCGGCTCCAAACCGCCGGGCTGGCCATGGGCCAGAGAGTCGCCTAGGGCAGGTGATCCCCGGGATATGCTCAGGCAAGACCCGGGAAGTGGGCCCTGGAATCCTCCAGACTGGTACATGGGGCACGGTACCTGTGACCATTCTGGAGGTGGAACGGCTAAGCCCAATGTACCAGGAACCATCCAGTGCAAGGATTTTGCACATGGCGATGGTTATCCTGGGGGTCAGTTGTGCGGGCATGCTGTGCCGCGATTTAAATCGTGGCAACTGGGGCATCAGAAAGATGTCACCAGCTTCCTGCGTGGAGGAGATCGTTGTCATCGACGCTGCAGATTGGGAGCCGCAATCTGCACCACCAGGCTTTCCTCCAAGGAGGAGGCTTGAAAGTTGGTGGAACTGGATCCACCACAGTGATCCCTCAACAGCGGACTGGTTGAGGGTGCAAGTGGAATCCCTGCACCGAGACCACCGGGCATTGGCTCGCACCTTGGTGGAGGAACTTAGCCGGAGCGATGCTGGGCAATGGGTGGTGGCCTCACTCCATGCTGAGCGCATCCTCTGCTTTTCCCCCAGGGACGAGATCTGTTTGCTCATGTCGCGAGCCAATGTCTTCACCAGCGGAGACTGGGATCTTCTCAGCCTCAAAGACCCACCTCAAGAAGGGGGCTGAGGGAGGTGGTCAAAAACCAGCAGAGCCCACCTAGGCAGGGGGCACAAGGAGGTGAACAGCTGAGGCCATGGCCGGCTTCCTTTCCTCACCGGCACCGGGAGGCACAGGGCCAAATCCTGAGGCTGCTTCAACCTCGCCAGCAAAAGCCTGGGAGGAGGGCTAGACTAGGTCCGAAGTAGCTCCTCCGGCAACCTCCCAACGGAGATTGGGAGGAACGGGGGATAGGAGTAGGCCTAGCGGAGGACGCCTTAAACAAGGCTGCCCTCCTCCTTTTGCTGTCAGAGTACAGCCCAGACCAAACTTGCCGCTCCGGCGGCCGCGACTCAGAGCGCAAGACCGAGAAAAGTTTGCTCCTTTTAGGTGTGCCCTTGAGTACCGACATGCTTGTTTTGCGCATGAGAAAGGGTTTCATCCTTTTTGCCTTGAACTGTTCTGTTTTGGAAGCTTGAACAGGCATTTGCATGGCTAACACATGTTTTGGCATGTTTGCAGTTGGTTTGAAGACCGTGATGAGCGCTTACAGCACTAGAGATGCTTTTGGGCATCCTTGAAGAAGTGCGTGTTGCTCTGACTGCACTGTTGCTGTTTTCCGCCGACCCTCGCTTCGCTCGTGCCGGTGGGAACAGGCCAAGGGACAGAGTGGCTGTGCACTGCTGTTTGAGTGAGTACAGAAGTCCTGAGAAGTGTTAGGACAGTTGCATGTCATTCCTCCTTTGTTTAGCAAAGTTGAGACGGAATTTGCTGCGCGAGACTCCGCAAGAGACCTTGCTGAACACTTCGGTGTTTGGCTCAAGCGTGGAGTGAAAAGAGACTTGCTCTGCGTTTTTCACAGGGTTAGGGTTCGGTTCAATTCAAATGCAACCTGAGGCTCACGTTGGGTTGAGCCAGAACTTTTGAGCGTCAGGTTCAGGTTGTTGGCTCCCCGCCTCCGGCAGGCCTAGGTTGTACAAAGTTCAACCCAACCCCCGCCCATCCTCCCCTCATTGTGCTCGAAAAAGATGAAACATCGGTTCGAGATTGATTTCAAGCTGTTTACACCGAGCTTCCGACAGTGTGTTCCATATGTTTTCGCGCGTCATTAGCACAAGAAGATTGCTCATGCAGTTGTTGTATTTCTTGAATCTTCAGTGGTTTTCGCTTCCTCCACTTGCGATTGCGCACAGCAGTCCCAGCTGTCCAGCAGAGCTTTGAAAAGAATCATCATTATCCTCCATGTGCTCAACAAGAAGTCTGTAGAACTTGCTGCGCTGGAGATGCTCTCCACAGTACTTCTGCAAGTCACAAGCTGGGAAGTAGAACTGCAGGCCGTCTCTCAGCCGCCTTGGGCAATGAATGCATCGTGCTGTTGACGCCATTCTTCACGCGACTTCCAGCTGACCAAGCGAACCTTGGAGGGGTGTTGTAGCTGGGGTCATCCGCGTGAATGTTGGCGAAGACGACCGCCCGGCGGTCCCACAAGTCGTAGGACCCAAGACGGAAATAGCCCGGCGAGTCGTAGAAGTCCTGCTGCCGTGGGCCCCGCAGCCAGTAGGAGCATAACGTCACAGTCGCCAGAGACGGCTCTAGCACGCACCCTGCTCAGAGCCTTGGCAAGCACCCCCGCCGGTTGGATTTGCGGGACCTAACCACCTGAAACGAATCAAAACACAAACACAATTTGAGCACCGAGCAAAACTTTGTCTCACATCTATTCCAGTGGGCAGAGTATTGGTTTCCCGGAGGAATGCATCACGTCCGGCTTTGGGTCTCCGGCTAAGAGGTTTTGGGTCCAGAAATTCTCACCCAGAAGTCCAACCCAGAAAAATCGAACCCTAAACCCCAGCCCCAAAGCCAGAAACCCACACCAAGAAATTCGAAATTCAATAATCCGAGACTCGTCTAAACTTTCGAAACCCTAGAACTACAACCAGAAACCTCCATCCCACAGATGTTGAAAGTTTTGACCTGGGACTTTAAACCCTTAAACCCCAAAATTCCTTCCCAAACTTGAGGTTTCTGAGTTTGGAGCTGAGAGGTTCAGAATTTCTGGGTTTGGGGTTTCTGGCTGTCGAGTTTCTAGGTTCCAGGTGTCGGGTTTTGGGTTCAGAGTTTTTGGGCTTGGGGCTTGTTGTGCTGAGTTGTGCCTGGATTCGCATGAACACGCAGCGAACACCCGCTTCTGCATTGTTGCACGTTGTAGCTTTGGTTTGGGGGGCGGAAAATGATCTGCCCCCATGATGGGGAGATGTATTGCGGTTTTGGGTCGTAACGTGCGCTGAAATTGCCGATTTCGAAAAGTAATTACGGCGGCCAGCGCTGCGGCGAGAACCAATATCCAGACAGACCACCACCCATCGCTGAGCTCGGAATGTGAAACAACGTAGAGACAATCATTCGGAAGACCGTGTAGTGCAGTGAGTGAGCGACGTTTCCATATGAATCCAGAAGCAGCTTCGCTGACTGTGCGGAGGTCATCATCTTTAATGTTGCACCGGCTCAAAAATAAGCAAGCGTGCTCGTCATTCTGTAGCGTACGTCGTTGAAGCGTGGTATCCAAGAGCCACAACTACAATATCAAGCCAACCTTTGAACAAAGGCAGACCCAGATCTCACAGGATGCTCCTGTATCGCTGTGGGCAACGGGGCTATCAACATTACAACATCATTCACACATGGAGTTCACAGTGAGGGAGCAATATCTTGTTGTTACAGCAAGGATTACAACTACCCGTCTCTGACGTCATGAACTCATTGGGAACATGCCATTAGTATTATAGTTGGTATTCGTGTTTCTGCTCTTAAAAAGTACATACACGAGTTACAATCGTTTATATTGTGATCACTATTGGCAATAGTAACGTCGTCGCGTGAGAAATGTATTTGCGCAGGCAGAAACCACAAAGTGTAACCGTAACAGGCCAGTGCCATCTTGATCTTTCGAGAACCATTGAGTCCCATCAAAACCACATGACATCCACCAAAATCCCATCAAAGTGTGATGAAGATCTGATTGAATCGGTCAGGTTCTTGGGAACATGTCGGGTTTAAAGGCTTGGGGAAGACATGTAAACCGAAAGAATACAAGTAACAAACGAAAACCTGCGCAAAAAGCACCCCGTGAACAAACGAAAAACATCAGAACCATCGAGGACTTTTCCGAAACCCACGCGATGAGCAAAAGCGAAACAATAACAATGACAAATATGAACGACAAATTTCAAAATTGAAGACATTCTCGCTCCATGATAACATGTGCGCAGGTATTTTCCAGAATTTTCCCTGCACCCTGCCTCGGTCGTACTTGCGAGCGGCCGTTGGGCTGACCGAGGTTGAGCGACGGTTTAGGATTTTGCTGTTTTCCCGGTTCTCCCGCTTCTGAGCTCTTGAACAAGATAGTGTACTGCATGGTTCGCATTTGAACAGAGGCCAAAATCGAACAACATCAGTGATGGTCGTGGTTCGGTCGTGCAGGCTCAGCATGCTGTTCACGGAATGGCATGCAGCGGTTCAGCATGCGCGCAGATCGAGACATGTGAAGGCGATATCAACACGAAATTTATCGATGCTACAGCTGCTTGTTGCCTCATGCTCTTTTGCGAGGGTGGAGTTTCAAGTAAATGGTCCCTGTGCTGCACGCAGCCTGGCGCATAATTAGCTGCTCCTAAACCACGAGATTGAGCTCTCGACCTTGACCCGTCAAGCCCCATTGGCAAAAACCGTCCAAACCTTGGTCCTACAACTTCCAGCTGAACTAAAGTCAAACCGGGCCGGATACTCTTTGGTTTGAATCCGCTCCTGCCCTTCTGTTTCTGTCAGTTCTATTACGCCATGACAGAGCAAGCTAAGACGAGATCAGAAGGCGGAGGTTGGGTTTCACGACGTTTAGCTTTGCGCCCGACCTTTTGAATTGGATGGCTTTCCGGGCCTGTGCCCATGCAGATTCAGCATGAGGCGGGGTATGGGGGCTTGTGTTCATGCTTGTGGGACATTGTGGGACATGTTTCCAGCTGCGGCAAGAGATGTGATTTGTTTTCTAACTCCTTTCGAGAGCAAGAGATGTGTTGCATATTCCGAAGTCAGTCAAGATGGGTCCGGTGAGTGACAGGCCATGGACAGTGCCCATGATCTGCTCAGCAAGCGTGCCCGCCTTAGACCCCCCGACAAGCGTTTTTGGCCAATCCCCGCATCGTCCATGACATCAGGTGCCGAGATGGCGAGCCGACTCCGGCACAACTTGACGGATCCTGCGCGAAGACCTAAGGGTGGCGCTATGCAGGTATCTGGTTGCAAATAGCTGTTAGTTTCAAGAAAATTGCCCTATCAGTCTGAGGATCCGACAAGCTGTGCGCCAGCGCTGCAGCTCCGTGCCTTTGGAGACCACGGACAGAAGTTCGCGAGAGAGCAGGTGGTGACCAAATCGATCAGCAACTGGCAGAAGATCCGTGTTACATGAGGAACCATGCGCGGCCGAAAGCTACGGAATCTGTGGATCACTGAGTGCAACATGTCTAGGACACCTGAGCAGTGGCGTGTGTTTGTAGGTTGCATAAAGACAAGGCGAGAACACTAGACGAACGATGATGGTGATGATGCTGTCGACGTGGCGACGGTGGTTTTGATGGTTTTGTTTGAGGAAGAGGATGACGCGTGTTGTCATGATGGCATATGTGTACGCTCGCCGTGCGAGGGAGGCAGGTCCACTGATATTGGCCTTGTCGAGCCCATGTGAGGCCATCGTCCAGAGTTCTGCTGCAGGCCCGCGGCCTGCGATTGACTGGCCACATCTTTTTGACTGGTGCACCGATGCCGAGGGCTTTGGAATCGCAATACCAGCCGAGATCGTGGTCCAGGTGTCGTCGACCAAGATGTTTCTCAAGGAGTCGAACGAGCGTGTGCGAGTGAGTTCCGCAGGCGCCTGGACCTCTCGGCCCACCAGCAGAGAGCGCACTGCCCGAGGAGAACTGTTGTGAAGTATCGGCTTGGCTGCAGTGGCCGTGGCGTACTCATGTACACGAGGCAGTGCCCCTAGTGATTCTCAGCAAAGCCGCGGTCTTGGCTTGCATGGGGCATCGGCACGAGCTCACCAATTTTGACTCCTGCGAGCGTTGAACCCAGACCCGGGTGGCGGAACTCGTGTTTGACTGTCGAGGCACCACCGGCCGCAGACCGGGCAACGGGGTGTTTGCCTCGGAGACGGCGGAGCTGGAACGCCGATGAAGTTTCTGACGGGCGGGCTGCGCAGGCTGGGCAGACTTCGCTTCAGAAGTCCTCGCTCTGGCCTCGGCCTTGGTCCGGCGGGCCCGGTCGGACGTCCGGTCTTCCTTGAGGTCGACAGGAGCTCTGTCTTCCAGCTCCTCCGCGGCCGGAGCTTCCAGGCAGCGGTCCAGTCGAGCACGACCGGCCCCGGCCTCAGCACGTAAGCCACGACATAAGCGGTGAGAAAGCTGTAAGACGGACGAAGCCCCGCTGCAGGTCGCCAAAGCGCAAGCCGTGGTGAATGCAGAGCCCGCGGACCCGGTCCCTCGGTTGCGCCGTGGCCGAGACGACCTGGACGAACTGAGGCCGATCCCGATCCGCGGTCGGCGCGGTGCGGACGATTCCCGCAAGGCAGGCTGACACTTTGTCGTACCATCTCCATTTAAGCTTGGTCACGTCCACAATCCGTGAGTGTTATGATGTTGGTGTATCTGATCATCCGCGGCCGTGCCTTACACAAAGCAAGATTCCGGATTAGGAAACATGGTGCTAGGACGGAAGATAAAACTGCTAACACGATTGAGAAGCACCAATGCCATGAGGGTTTTGCTGCCGCCAACATGACTTCGGGCAGTCTGCATTCGGTACCGGGCAGCTGTACATCGTGAGGTTTGTGACGTGTTGCGTGGTAGTTTCGAGTTCACGAGGTTCGAGACAAGCCTAAGACGGCAGTACTCAAGTGGTTCGGGGAGAAGAGCGGCAGTGGCAGGGCTGGAAGATCGGAGCGACGGTGTGCAGTACTGTGTAAATGGCAACTGCGCAATGCTGGACATTCGCGTGCATATAGTGATCCTTGTGTGGGGAGGTAAATGCCCAAGCAGCATTGGCCAAAGCTGTGGGATACCAAGCGAACACGGTGAACTCAAGCTTGACATGTCTGACATGCATGCCATCTTTGCACAGTTAAGTCCAAGGTCGCGTCGCTGCTTGGCAACGGAAGCCGGCAGCTCATGATAATTACGCAGCCTACGTCTGGATCTCTTGAGATTTTTTGTGCGGCATGAGACGGCATGTAGTTCCAGCTTTGAAAGCGGTTTTCATGGTTCACACGGAAGACTTAGGCTCCTCATCTGCCGTGGCAGCGGCCGTGCAAGCAGCCGCCGATGCCGGAGGGGCCATGCAAGACGAGCTCCTGAAGGCGGATACGGCACCATTCGATGCCATGCGATGAGCCTTGCTTTGGGCATGTGTGAGTCCGAGTCTCAGTGTGAGGTCAGTAAAAGGTTGGACCAGCTGGAGCGTCAGCATCCCAGCGTCTCCCAGCCGCCTCTCAACACCTCCGCGCCTCTGCGGCTGCATGCCGTTCCGAGGCGAGAAGCAACAACTGGCTGAGAGTGGCCTCAATGTCCTGGTGGGATTCATGGTGAGTTTCAGCTTAAGTGGGCAAGGCCTCTCTGGCAGTGCCCTCTGTCATGCAGGCGCGCTGCCGTTCGCAGAGCAGAACCAGACTGGCAGCTTGCTTGGCACGATTCTCTCCCCTGCCGCAGATTGTTGGGGGTGGGAGTTTAGTCAGAGGTTTAGGTTTAGGCCTTTGCTGCAGCACCTGCAAAGCTTGGCATCTTGCTTCGTGGTCCCCAAGTAGCCATCTCAGGCCTCGTCGCCAAAGGATTCCACGCAGGCGCAGCAGGCTCAGCAGGCTCAGGCTCAGGCGGTCGCCAGAAGAGTCCAAAAAAGATGCCTTGCCTCTGTGTGACTTCCTAGGCCTGAGGGCAAGGAGGGGCTGGGCCCCAGCCCCTCGGGCCCGGAGGTGCAGACATTTGTCCACTTACTTGGCAGCGTTTCAGCACATAGCAATGCAGGCCGGAGGAGATATGGACAAGCTCAGCTCCAAGTGATGAAGTTGGCTGGTAAGGCTACCTCTTTTGTCCTGCATGCTCTTGCTTTGGTCCTTTCAGGCACCCTTGGTTGTTGGCCGATGGCCGCTTGGTCACCGCACATCTGCAAGGCAGGTAAGGGGTTCTTTTTTCTGGGTGAGGTTGTTCGAGATCTGCGTTCGAGGCGAGAACTTGGCTTTGAAACGGGCCGTGATGAAGGCGCGCCGAGAGATCGACGAGCCGGTGCCTCGGGCCTTAGCCGCCTTAGCCGCCTTGGCCTGTGCTGTTAGCCTGTGCTGTTGAGACAATAAGAGCCTCGGCCTCGGAAGATGCGAGGCTTCTGAAGGGAAGAGCGGAGACAGAGGCGAGAGCCCGAGCGCTCAAGGAAGAAAACAGCGCCGCGGCAGAGGTTCTCAGGGGACGGTCCAGGGGAATGTGGGGGTTCGATATTGTTTGCCTCGCTGGTCAGGCTCTGCGGCGATATACAAATGCTTGGATGCCCCAGGCCCTTGACCCTTGTCGCTTTCCTCTGAAAACCCTCTCTGCTTCAGACGGCGCAGGACTGGCAGGCCTTGCGGCCCAAGCCGGAACCGGAAGCTCAAGGCCTTTGTTCAAAAGGACCTGCAATGCGCCTGAAGCCGCTGCGCTGGCGTTTTTTTACCAGGCCATGCGGCCAAGCAGGAAGCACCGAGGCTCAGACCCTCTCGCCGTCGTAGTGACGGTGGTGTCTCTTGCGGTTGCTATGTGGGGCTGTGCAGGAGCCCTGCGCTCTCCGGAGTCCCTGGAGGATGTCAAAGTGGTGAGGTGGCTCCTGAGATGTTGCTACGAAGCCGGATCGCCACAAGGAGCCAAGCTCTCCGCACCGCCGGAGATCGCAGGCCCTGGCCTGAAAAAGAGTGCTGGATTCTCTATTCTGTGCACCCCTCCGCCGGCCGCCGGAGCTGGTACCTGGTCAGGCGCTTCCGGAGCCTGATTCCCGGGCCAGTGCAAGGAGAAAGATTGGGTCGCGGGTTGTGTTTTCCAACGTCCGAGGACCATGCAGCCGGTCTGCACCGCGCCTTCGGCCAGAGCCCAAGAGAGGCAAGATAGACCGGCGGCACAATGCCATGTTGATCTCCGAATGGGTGCCCTGTGCTCTCCCACGGCTCAAGACTGTACCCCAGAGTAGGCAACAAAGCTCGTGTTTCCCATGATGGACTACTTGGTTAGTTGCGGCTTGCCGGCTGTCAAGAACCACTCCTTGCTGCTACACATGCCCGCTCCGCATCGGCCACCAGACCGGGACAGAGAGAAGCCAGCAGAAGCTCCCGACGAGCTGCTTGAATCACCGGCATTAGAAGAGCGACGTTTGCTTTTCTTGGACGTGGATGGAGTGCTGCATCCTCTGCAGGTTCCAACGTGAGCTTGGGTGCGGCGGCTCTTTTGATTGACAGAAGTTAAATTGACAATTGAGAAGGCCATAGAGAGGCCATGCTGCAACCCTGAAGGTGCGAATGCTTGAGCAGACTCAGAAGGTCGACACATCGCACTGCTTCCAGGGGACCTGTATGCAGGAGCTTCGTCGAGTCGTGTCCACAACAGGGGCGCAGATCATCCTCAGCTCGTCTTGGCGCAAGCAGCTCGTCTGCTTGTACTTGCAGCGAGTCTTCAGTTTGCTGGCGCTTCAGGTTTGGGGGTTTTCCATAGCATGAATCTGGATTTGGGAGAAGTTGTCTCATGTCAGGTTTGAGAAGACCCGCAACATGCTTCTAGAGGAGTTGGCAAAATATGGGCTCTCATTCCGAGAGTGGACCACCGTGGCAGGGGGCGAGGGCAGCGAAGCCCGGGTCGACCAGATCTTGGCTTTCGTGACCGCCTCGGGCGTAGACTCCTGGGCTGTCGTGGATGACGAGGACTGGGGACTGCATGGGACTGCACTGACCGTGCCCTCCCGAGCCCGAGCTTCTTTTGCGCGCGAAGGATCTGGCACCCAGCAGTTCGCTCAAATCAGAGGGCATGATGAAGTCCTTGTTTCGACAGCATTTTGTTCGTACGGATGCGTCGCAGGGTCTTGATGCAAAGGCAGCAGATGCGCTGATACAGCTACTTTGCGAGTCGTGAACAATTTGGTGCAGTGGATCTTTGAGATGCTCCTCAACCGATAGACAACCCACGGCCCAATGCTGACAGGCCCTGGCCCACCGGCCCACATCCTTTCCCTGGCGGCTTGGAGCGGCAGAGCTGGTGTCCAGAGTCCTTCCTGCAATTCAACGACGGCCTCCTGTCACCTGTCGCGAGAGACGCACCTGATCACCCTGCCGACACGAAGAGGATGGCCCTGACGAGTGAGTAGACAGGCTTGAAGAGCTGGCTGTGCACAGAGAAACACAGTACAGACACCATCGAAGAGCTTGTTATTTTCTGCGAGCATCCGACGGTTGTCTACGCGTGACCGAGGACCCGGTCGAGGCGACACGGTCGATGGGAGCGCGGCCACGGCTCAGGCAGAGCTTTGCCGTGCCATGTAACCACTGTCACCATGTGCATGTGCTGGAGCCAGGCTTCCCTCAGCGACGAGGCACCTGTGCAGCCATGTGCGGCCGGGCTGGGTAAATCTTTAAGCTTCGCTCCGCCTGCAGGCGAGAAGCAAGCTGCTCCAGACAAGCGATGAAATCAGCCGTAGGATGGAGGCAAGTTCTGGGTCGCCTCGTGCCCTGAAAAATGATTTCCCCGCGGCAGGAGCTGCTCTCACGCAGAGGGAAGCCACTGCAGGCACGCCATTCGTGCGGCGCATGGTGTGTGCTGCAGTTGCACTTTCCATTCCTGGCCAGGCGTTGCTGGATCCCGTCTCGTAAGCCCTTTTGGGCAGGGGCCATAAACGACGCTCAGAGAGTGTTGGAGAGTGGTTGGAGTCAGGAGTCGCAGCAAGCACAGCGAGCACAACAAGCACAACAAGCATTGCTTCGTCGGCTTTGTCAGCGTGGCTTTCGCGTAGTCTTTGGCTTCAGTCTCATCTGGCCTTAGCCTTGGGCCTGGGCCAGCTGGACTCTGGACCCGGATGGTCGTTCTCGGCTTGCTGGGATCGAGCCATGAGACCGCCCAGGAGGTCCGAAGGCAGAGCATCGAGGCAGGGGTAGGAGACTCCGAAAGAAGGGAGTTTGTTTGCATGGCTTCCGAGCAGGATCCTTTCGGTGGCTGGGGTTTTGTGATGCCATTGTCGGCTAGGTAAGCTCAAGGGGACATTACCATTGCCGTGGATTCAGACATATCCGGGAGCACCTGACGAGTGGAAGGCCGACCAGCGCCTGCAGCGCGACCCGTTTCGGGCATTCTGCGGTCGGCACAGCCTTGCAGCCTGGATCTAATTTCTCATAAGGTTCACAACTGGTTCCGGTCCAACATCGGGGTGAGTAGTGGATTGTGCATGTCCGACCTTAGGCTGGTATCGCTGCTTTGACAACTGTGCTTCATTGTGTGGACGGCGCTGCGCCATCGTTCGGCCAGGGTCCGAGGCCTTCGACGAGGCCTTGGCAGCCTCGGCCAAGGCATGCCAAGGCCAAAGGCCAAGTCGAAAGTCGAGCCTTCCCAGGTCGGCGAGTCGGCGCCCAGTGGCCGCAAGGCGCGCTCAGCGCCGAGCATCGGCGCGTTCGGCGTCGAGGCGGCGCCAAAAGGCCGAGAAGACTTTCCGGTGATTTCGAACGATTCGAGTATTCGAGAAGCAGCTTTGCATGACAATCATTCTGCACTGCTGCACGTTTATGGCTCCGTGGTGGAAAAAGCGAGCTTGCTGACGAACAGGAGTAGGCTTCTTTGTTCTCTGCCAGCTCATGAGGACGGCAGCACGGAGAAGGTTGTTGTACAGCACAAGGACCCCAGCAAACTTGTTTGCAAATGGACAGCACTTGTGAGTTGTGCTATGCTGTGCAGAAGGAGCCCATGATGGTGTCCGCGCAGGGGGAGCACCTCCTTCTCGATGGATCCAAAACGCCTGCAGAGAATGCTCTGGAGCTTCTTTCAGCCGGAGAGCAAGGTGCCATCTGCTGCTGGATTTTTGGACGTGAGTCAAGGTTGCATGTGAGGTGGCAGCTTGAGCGCAGAAGATTCGGCCTTTGCGGGTGCTTTCACCGCAGAGACCTGGCTCGAATGGAGCAGTGCGGCTGCTCGACTGCGCCTGTTGTCCGGATCTGCCCTCCGGAAGAGCCCAGGAACCCCAGGCGATGCAGAGCTGCCTCGGCGCATTCGACGCTGCCCTGCGAGAGTTGACCCTGAAGCAGTGCTTGCAACTTGGAATGATGAGACTTTCAGGCATGGGCTTTGCTGTACTGCTTGAGCGAGCATGCCTGCAGGCAAGATGTCCAGATATGGCAGCACAGCTGCAGTCAAAATCCATTGCTGCAGCTGGTGGCTTGCCCTTCGTTAAGCTTCTGCGCAGCGTGCAGCTGTCATCTGAGTCGAACCCTAAATCTTGTTGCTATCGGTCCAAGAGCATGGCACGGAGGTGCTGCTGCACCAGGTCGGCTTGAAAGGTGGGCACAAGGCCGGAGCTGAGATGCGTCATGCTGCAGCGTCTTCTTAAATCATCTTGACGGGACAAAGAACGAAGACTCAACAAGATTTCTCGAGTCACGAGAGGCGTGGTCGGCACTCGGGGTCAGCGATGACTCGGTGCTGGACACTGTGGGACAGGCCTCCGGTTTGCTGAGTCCCTGGCTTTGGGTTGAGATCGTGTTTGGTGCGTCATGTGATGCCGTGGGGGAGGGTTCGATGGCGGAATCACGTTGAATGCTCCTGCAGTCCTGCAGGTGGCAGTGCTCCTCGATGGCCAGCAATCGGCAAGTTCGAAGAAGCTTGTAGAGTTTGACTTGATGCTAAGCTGAAACTTCAGCCTCCTCGTGCCAGTGCCTGCCACCATCTACCACCTCACTAGCCCGACTAGCCCCTAGCCAGGCATGGACGCATGTGCCCGAAAGCTTGACTCTTCGATTTTCGCGTCTGAGGAGGCCGGCTGCTTGGAGCATTCTCCGAGTGTTGGGAGAGGATACCCTTGACCAACTGATTTTTGCCCGGCTCTCCGTCGCAGCGACGTTTTGTTCCTTAGCCTTGGCTTGCTTCGGTTTTGGGCTCTTGCTGCGCCGTAATCCCTTTCCAGGAGCGGATCGCCTCGTCAGCACATGCCATGACCGCCGGCCAAGCTCTGGCCCTGCACGAGCACTTTGCTGAGGCAACTAAGCTGTAGGAGAGACAGGCCGTCTGTCGCGTGTTCGCTGGTGCGCGGAGAGACCGACCTTGTTGTACTGTTTGCCATCCACTGCCGATATGGTCAGGATAGTGTTCATTAACTGCAGCTTTCTCTTCCGAGCGCGCTCATCTTGAGGCATCTGGTATTGGAACAGGAGAATTCACCTCCGCCTGTGCTGGTCTTTGGGTTGATGACCGTCCTGGTGCTTTTTGACTGGCTGTTGAGGCTTCTTCCCTTCATTTCTCAGGAGTTCAGTGCGCACAGACGATGGAAACACGTGACTCCGACGCTGGCTCCTAACCATTCAACCTGGTTTGTGCTTGCGGACAGCAACTGTCAGCGATAACAGCCGAGAAAACCTGGCGAGCTGGTCTGTCGATTGCTTTGAGTCATTGGCGTAGGCTAGAAGTTGCCCCATGTGGTTGTGAAAAGTCAAAAGGATCCACGACTTTCCAACAGATCCAAGAGCAACACGACTATTTTGCTTCTTGCAAGCGTTCGGCGGTGTTCTGGCCGAGTGTACCGTGCCGGGTAGGTCGGGTGTTAGCTCCGTCGTAAGTCAGGCACTTACCTCTTCGGCGATGTTGCCGTTGCTGGAAGCGGCGCTCGCAGATGCTGCAACGGCGCCTTTGGTCGAGGCGCCAGATGCGATCCTCATCGAGCTGTTGATCTGCTTAACAACTCACCCGGCGCAATGACATTGTGGGCAGCCGGGACTGCTTTGACAGGAGCACGTTCTGTCCCTCGCCCTGGCCTTCGAAGCTCACGGCACCCTGGCCCTCAGAAGCTTCTCAAAGTCATATTCAGATGACGACCACCGGCCTTTCTAAAGCTGGATGCTAGATCGCCAGATGTGCTAGCTAGCCCTACCAGGCCGATAAGCTCCTTTGCGCTTTCAGGCCTGGCTGAGAAATGTGTCTGGGACAAATTCGCCTTGCTCCTTGCGCGCTGCTGGTCAAGTCTGGACAACAGGCCTGGAAGAGAAGAAGTTGCTGCTGAGCGTGAGAGTGTTTCGCCGTCCGATCGAACCAGGTCCCTGCTGGCAGCCATGTTAGTTTTGCCGGAGCTCCTCAGAGCAGCACCAGGCTGCGGATTAGGGCAGCAGCTTTCGCTAGCTCGACACATACAGTTACACGTTTGCGTGGTGTGACATTTCCGCGTCACCACTCACAAGTCTGACCGGATGGCACTCGCATTCGAGCTCGGCGCCTCATCTGGGGTGAACCCCTTTGCTCGGACACGCGCGATTGCACTTTGGCCAAAACGGCCACACTTGGGCTGTGCCTTCGTCTGACTGCTTTTCAGTTTCGCTTCCTCTGTCAATCCTCGTGTGGGAGACTCGAAGGTGAGCTGGAGTCAGCATTGGTGCCTCTGTGTGAGACCAACTTGCTGTCTTCCCTTCCGTATGGTTGCTGCCCGGCCGCACGGCGACATGACACGTCGTCACGGCACCAACCAGTAACCAAGCCTTTCAATGCTGAGGCGTTGTCTGGCTGCTGGACTCGTGGGCTTCGTCGGCTTCGTGCGCCGGGAAGCGCTTCCCCTCTTTGCTGGCGCAGCTGCTTCGACCTGCCGTGGCACGCCATCTGCTTGATTTCGATGTCAGGAGGCTCGGGCTCGGGGCCCTGATGTGATGCTGGTGGTATGTGGTGATGCTCAGGTCGTGGTCCTATGTCCTATGCCTTCCGTTCGTTTCTACTTCATCTCTTTTGGTAGGAACGTCTCAAGTGACGCACACCTCAAGCCTCGGTGGAATAGCATCCTTTTTTTCTTACCTTGTTGATCCTTCCATACTCGAAGTTCTAGCAGAAATCTGCCTGGTTTTGTAACTTGGTACCGTGCGCGCGGGGCGCCCCGGCCGTCGGTCAGAGCTGTGCAGCACGTGTTTGCCGACATGCCGACCAAGCTCGCTGATGTTTGCCCTCGTGCCAGGAGCGTGCTGGAGTTAGAGTCTAGAAGCCTGAATTGTGGTCGAAACGGTCTCAAACGATGTGGCTGCTTTGGCCCACCCGTGCACTCTTGACATGCCTTCATGCAGGGTGCATCATAACCAGCATGTTGAGCCGTGTGCACGTCTGCGGCAGGCTCATAGCAGCCTCCCACATATTGGACACCTCTGATGGTGACGGGGTGGTGGACATTCTGCTCTTCTGGCAGAGCTGGATGGAGCATTTGGTGTCCGAGTGCAAGGCTGGCTTTCCTTGCTACGGGGTATTCAAGCAGAGAGTATGGTAGAGGTGGAGACAACTACTCCGATGACCGTGACAGTGAACATGTGCAGCATGCAGCACCGTGTACACTGCATCTGTGCGATGCTGAAAGCGAGATGCTTGCGCTCTTCTTCCTGGGTTTCAGATGCTGGTGTAGATCCCCAAACAACCAGAGAGCACCACGACGACCAATGACCACCCAGAGACCGCCAAGAGACGACCAGGAGACGATGTCAATTGATCTGGCTTTCGGGGAAGGGGGCCCGAGAGATCCCGTGTACTGGTGTACATGCTCGGATGTGAGCACAAACTGTCCACTGCGCCACTGTGGGAGAGGTGTTGCAGGAGGCCTCATCGCGGGCATGCCTCATGCACACACCAAATCAAAAGCAACTTCCTGGATAAAGACGTTACAGACCATAGTGCCACAATGCAGAGGCAGTGCAGACATGCAGCCGTAGTGTGTGCAGATAGAACAGTTGTTCTTTTTTTCGGTTGCGAGGTGAAGACCTGGCGATGGAGTCGATGTCAAGAGGCCTTGCGGGAGGTGGCTCAAAGCCCAACTCTCAGCGCGACGCAAACTCCGAGCCTGGGTGACATGATTATGGAAGGCGCGGGCGATGGCGGACAGCGCTCTTACTCTGCCTTCTTGAGCCACACATGCAGTCAGGCATTCTCCTGACGGAGTTGGTCCGGGCCAAGGAAGACTTGCCGTTGGAGCTCTTGCTGGCGCTCCTGCTCAACAAAATGTTGGACAGCGCCACACAAGAGAGAGGGGGGGGTTGGGTGGGTTTCAGCCTTCGTCTTCAGGCGCGTTGGCGGTACTCGGACCTGTGGTTGGAGGGCGGGCCGGTGATATCAGTCCGCGGCAACGCGGGTGGGGGGGGGGGGGGGGGGGGAGAGAGTTGAGAGTTGAGAGGGGGACGTAGTTGAGTAGCTCTGATGCTCTCGCCCTAGGATGTGGGACGCCGCCTCCCAGAGGAGGGCCGAGCCGAGCTCCGAGGAGAGCGGCAAGCGAAGCGAGCACCCGAGCACCAGAGCAGAAAAAGGGGCAGGGAACTGCAGGGAAGTGAAGCCGTGCTCCGGACCCGCTCTTCTCTTGCCTTGTGCTTTTTTGGCAGAACCAGGATTCTCTAACGCTCTTTTGGATTTCTCACGGCACTACTCTAGAAACCGCTACTCATTTTTCTCCCACTTGTCTCCCATTTGTCTCCCACATTCTGGATGCTCTAACGCTCGTTTGGGACCCTTGGTTCTACATGTCATACTCATGTGCGTGCCACTTGTCTCCCACACCCTGGATGCTCTAACGCCCATCTGGGACCCTTGGTTCTACTCGTCACACTCATTTGTATCACACACCCTGGCTGCTCTATCACCCGTCTGGTCCCTAGGCTCTACTCGTCATACTCATCTGTCTCCCACATCAATGCTCCTCTCCAGCGAAGGCTCCGGTGCCGGAGCACTGCTTACAAGAAAAAGAAACTGTTGTTCCGACGTGACGATGCATTCTCCAGTTCATTCACATGTGCGACAAACCGACACCTCCAGAGCCTCCGGCGCCGGAGGCTGCGGCGCTCCGAAAGCGCGCCACAAATGGTCCGAAGCACCGCCGACCTTAACATGCATCAGCAAATATTTTGCCAGACCTAACATGCGTTCGGTCCTCGATTTTGTTGACAAGAAAGGCAGCCTCTGGTGCTGCAGCCTCAGTCGCCGAAGGCTGGAGGTGAGCCGGAGAATGTGTCGTCATGCTGGAACAACATTCGTTTCTTGTTCTTGTAAGCAACGGTCCGCTCCGCGCCGGAGCGCCGGAGAGGGACATATTGCTTGGCAATCATTGGCAACTGTTTCCGCAGACGCTACTCAGCGCCGCTTGAAATGCACTAGTCAGGTCAAACATGCGCTCTGTCCTTGTTGCTGTTGGGAGAAGGACATTGCTTGTCAATGCTTGGCAACTTATTCGGTCCTCTTGCGGCGCCGGAGCCTGCGGCGCCGGAGAGAGACATTGCTTTTGACAGAATAGGCGCGCTCGGGCGCCGGAGGCTCTGGAGAGTCTGTTGTACGACGTCGTACGGTACAAAGGACCGCCGAGCTTCACGTGCAATAGCGATCTTTCACCGTGCGCCGGAGGCTGCGGCGCCGGAGGTTGCAGAGCCGGAGGTTGTCTTTCTTGTCAACAAAATATGGTCCGAAGCACCGCCGACCTCACAATGCATCAACAAATATTTCGCCAGGTCAAACATGCATTCGGCCCTCGATTTTGTTGACAAGAAAGGCAGCCTGCGGCGCCAGAAACTGTGGAGGTGTCAGTTTGTCGTACATGATATTGAACTGGGAAATGTATCGTCATGTTTCTTGTAAGCGATGGCCCCCTCCAGCATCGGAGCCAGCGCCAGAGAGGGACATTGCTTGGCAACTGTGCCCACCGATGGTGCTCAGCACCGCTTGACCTGCATCAGCAAATATGACACAGGTCAAAACTGCATTCGGTCCTCTTGCGGCGCCGGAGCCTGCGGCGCCGGAGAGGGACATTGCTTTTGACAAAATAGGCCTCCTGCGGCCCCGGAGGCTTGGAGGTTACGGTACAAAGCACCACCGACCGAGCTTAAAATAGCGATCCTTCGCCAGGTCGACAATGCATTCGGTCGTGATCTGCTGGCAAGAAAGGCGCGCAGAGGCTGCGACGCCGGAGGCTGCGGCGCCGGAGGCGGTGGCCTCGGTGCCGGAGGCTGCGGCGCCGGAAGGTGCGGCGCTGGAGGCTGCGGCTAATGGTACGAAGCACTGCCGAGCTTAGCATCAGCAAGTATTTCTCACTCGAACGTGTGTTCGGGCCTCGATTTTTGTTGACAAGAAAGTCCCCCTCCAGCGCCGCAGCCTCCGGTGCTGGAGGCTCCGGCGCCGCAAAAGACCGAACGCAGTTTTGACCTGGCGATATACTTGCTGATGCATTTCAAGCGGATGCTTTGTCCATCGCAAAGTGCTTTCCAACTCTACTTGAAAGCGAAACCGAGCCAAAGTCTGTGCGAAAATCGAGCTGTTGGTGTCTGTACTTCTCAATTGCTGTTTGGCGTCGAGGCTGGTGTAATCCTTTCTTTTGTCTTGGTTAAATCGTGGCGCTGTTGTCGCTGCTTACTGTAGGAGCCCTGCACCAGCTGCTGTGGCACTGCCTCGCCGGACGTGGTGGCAGCTTGTCGCTCCTCAACGCCGTGTCCGTGGCGCAGGGGGAGGCGCGCAAAGTAGGATGCAAGCAATGCTTCCCTATCTCTGCCAGCCCCCGGGCAGACATTTCTTCCATGCGAGCCTGGTTCGAAGCTCTTCGTTGCTCTCGTGGACCACATCGTGAAAGTGCTTCGGCAGACGTCGTCGGCTTCCTCCGTCAGCTTCTTCTGCTGCTTGGCACTTTCAAGCGCTTTGTGAGGAAGACGAGAAGAAGAAGCAATTCTAAGTTACTACACATAGTGACCATAGTCACATCCGGGCTTCAGGCCGTTGCAGGCCGAGCCCGGCCTTGCGGCAAGCCGTGCTCGAGAAGCTGAGAGGTTGGCAGCGGCTGGAGCTCAGCGTATGCTGACTCGACTCCGTCAGTCTCCGGACGGGATCTCGTTCGTCTTCTGCAAGCATCTTGCGCAATTTCCGAAGCTGCAGATACACTGCAGGTCGTGCAACAGTTTCTAATCATTCCTCCCTTGTCAGCTCCAGCGAGGAGCACCCAGAGGGAGAGGCTTGGTCCAGGCCCAAGGAACATGTCCTGGTTGGGCAGAGCCTTAGTCCACGGGGCCTTAAATTCGTGCACGAAAGGGGCGGCGACGCACATGCTGCGCCAACATTTTCCAAGCCGCCGTTGTTTGCACCGTGCCTCGGACCCAACGGCAAGATCTCTGCTTGGTTTTTAAGAGGCTTCGCACCGGGATTTCACAGCCACGGGGATATACAGGTAGTATGACTTAGTACGAGCCTGCATCGTTTTCCGTTTTCGACAGGGCTTCAACTCCCAGTGTCACTGCAAGTGTCTTGGCAGAGGTGGCAGCGTCAATGAATAGTCCGATCCTGTGGTAGCATGAGAGTACCAGAGGTGGACAAGTACTCATGTTTTGGGCTTGGGAAGGCCTTCTGTTTTCTCAGTTGACGCTGCATGCCTTATGCTTGATTGCTTGCCACTAAGCGTCTCTGTAGCAGTTTTGTCAAAAGAGCAATGTCGATTTAATTGCCCACTGCGGGACACTCGTAATCTGAAGTGTCCTGGCCTTAGCCTTTGCACTTTGCAGAGCGGCTTCCAGAGGTCGCGCAGCAGGGCAACTGTACAAATTGCAAGAACAACGGAGGAGATGAGCGCTAGAAGTGGTTGCAGCGTTCTTAGAACTATTGATAGGGGAGCCTTTCATCTCCACCGGAGTTTTCCATCGATTCCCAATTTTGGCTAAAAGCTTGCAAGCACCCGAAGCGTTGTGTGCCTTGACGGCCTCTCACACCTTGAATCGCCGGCTCGGCTTGAGCTGTTGAAGTGGGCTTGGGTAAGGGTGGCACTGAGCAGGCGACAGGTGGGAGAGCAGCAAGATTTGGGCTAGCAAGTCCGGGTTCTGTCCGTGGCCTGAATCTTGCGACACATACGGCCAATCTGCACGGCAATCGACTGTGCGTTGTGGGGAACGCATGAAGCCCAAAAGTCGAGCATTGAGAAGTTTGTGCCGCTCTGCAGTGTCGGGCCTCTTGTGACTGTGCGGAGGTCACAGGACGAAGTGCCAGGAGGAGAGCACCGCGAGGAGCCCGTGAGGAGCTGTCAGCGCGACAGCCCGGCCGTCGCCCGGCGACGTGGCGACGTGAGAGGCCCTGAACGCGCTCTCAGACTCGAGCTAATGCACGCTCCAGTACCGCTCGGTTGAAAGAAAACAGGCGACATGGAGCAGGATCTATGGATCTACGAATCTACGAGCGCGTGCAAAGATAGGCTACGAGATGTGCTGTCATGTCGCCGTCGCCCTTTGCTCAAGTCGCGCCCAGCGATTTAAGCCACAGGCCGGATAGCCAAGACCCCGTCACTTCCGCTCCTTCCTGTCTCAGATCGTCGCCATGAAGCTCAACATTTCGAATCCCACCACGGGGATGCAGAAGCTGGTAGAGATCGACGACGACAAGAAGCTGCAACAAGATTTCAACCGAGGATGCTTTTTTCTGAGTTTGTCTTGGACCGCTTGTCTTGGTAGCCGGTCTTGCATCGAAGGGCCTCTGGCCTATGCGGTGTGGGTTCAGGTACCCGCTCTTCGACAAGCGCATGGCCAGCGAGGTTTCGGGCGACTCTTTGGGAGATGAGTTCAAGGGCTGGAAGCTGAGTTTATCGTAAACTGGAGCTTGTGCAAACAGTCACTCTTTGTGAAAGCAACTTCGAGGTTACGTCTTTCGTATTGGTGGTGGCAACGACAAGCAGGGCTTCCCCATGAAGCAGGGTGCGTGCCTCAGATGTCGGAAATCGCCACACGTCCGAACATCTTCGAGCTGTCCGAGGTGTGATGAGCAACAACCGTGTGCGTCTCCTTTTCAAGAAGGGGATGTCCTGCTACCGTGAGCGCCGTTCCGGCTGCCGCAAGCGCAAGTCGGTTCGAGGCGCTGGGTTTGGTTTCCCTTTGAAGGGTGGCCGGCCGTCGTGATGGCCGCTGGCAGGGGAGGGGGGGTATACGGTCTATCATTTGCTGGATGTGAACAGTTGCATCTTGTTTGGATGAAGAGTCGGAGGCTGCATCGTGGGCCCCGACCTGGCTGTGCTGCACCTGGTGCTGGTGAAGAAGGGCGCAGAAGACATCCCAGGTCCGAGGGGGGTCCAAGCCGTGAGCCGTGAGAGCCGTGCCCTTTCGGCCGCAGGCCTCACTGACGATCAGAAGCCCCGCCGCCTCGGCCCAAAGCGGGCCTCCAACATTCGAAAGCTCTTCGGCTTGGAGAAGAAGGCGTCGACTTCCCGTCTCCTGAGCGTTTGCAAAAGGCGTTAGCGCAGCCTGGAGCCTGCAGGACGACGTCAGGCAGTTCGTGGTCCGCCGTGAGATCAAGGAGGGCAAGAAGAACAAGGCCGTGCACCGCTGTCTTGGTGTATTTTCGGAGAAGGGACAGCGCAGACGGCAGGGGTGCTGTTCCCACGCTGCAGGCACCTAAGATTCAGCGCCTCATTACGCCCCAGCTTCTCCAGAGGAAGCGTTACTTCAAGGTGTGCAGGGACCGTCAGGACGTCTGGCACGTCACATCTCGCATGTCACGTCACACATTCCTCGGACAGGCCATCACCCGAAAGCGCATGGAGGCCGGAAAGGAGGCCAAGGCCGCCTACGCCCAGCGCCTCATCGAGTACCACCACGAGCAGAGGGAGGCCCACGCGACCGAGATGGCCAAGAAGAAGAAGAAGAACGCCTAAGCGCGCGCTGGAACTGCGTCAGCCGGGGAGCTCGGTGCCTCCGGTTCCTTTTCTCCTGCGCACTGCACAACGAATTCTCAATACGCAGACGATAGCTTCTCCCAGGTCAATCGGCAGACCGAAAAGGCTTTCAAGTCCTTCGGCGGAAGCATGGCTAGAAGCGAGTGGGTAGCCTAGGGCTGGAAAAGAGCTGCTGGGAAGGGTGGGGCGTAGAAGACTGGTGAGAGTGCTGGTAAGGCTCCAGTCACCGGATGACGTTGCATGTTGCAGGGCGACGGCTCAAAGCGAGTGCCTCGCCCCGGCAATGTCGTGGATAGCCGTTCTCGCGGCTGCCGTCGACTCAGCTTTTACCCTCTTCCCATCGCCCAGTCGAATCCGGGGGAATTCGCAGGCGACGGCCCTCTGCTCCTTTGGGCAGCTGCGCACTCGGCGGCCCGTCCAGCTGAGCAGAGTGAGTTCCCTTTGACTCCAAGGAGGGCCTTTCTGGCCACCACAGCGGCGCCTGCGCCGGCGACACCGGCATTGCGAGGCCAAATGTCTTGGCCGGAAACTCCGAGTTCGAGTTCAAGCGGCGGTTGCTCCCAGGACGCGCCAGCCTTCGGAATGAAAACAGTGGGGCACGAGGTGCATGCGATTAAGACACAGCTCCGGCAACTCTGAGCTTTGCTGCTTGTCTCTTCCATCTTCCATTCCATCTTCGTCAGGCTTTGGACTGGTTGTCGGAGGCGCCGCTCTGGCACTGGGAGCCGAGAGCCAAGCGGGCGGACCAGAACATGACCAGCTCATGACCCATGACACTCACAGGATAGCAGAGACAAGCTCTGGTTGCGAGGTTTCTGTTGGAAGGCAGGAAAGGACCAGGAGTGCCACCTCCGTCCGTGCCGTGACAGAGGTAGCGCAGGCGGGATGGCACGCGGAAGAGCCGGAGTGCTTGACTGTTGTCTCTTCACAGGTGAAGTTGTCCAAGATCACTGGCGGGAAAGCGATCCCCTCAACTCCTGGAAACCGTGTAGATGCAGGTAGATGCAGAAGTTTTGTTCACCACCTGCTGCCAGACTGGCTCAGAGATTTGTTTTGCTCGGCTTTCTATTTGGCGGGGGCTAGGCTCCCTGTGCTCGAGCGATCCATATCCTGGAGCTGTGAGGGCATGAGCATGACTTGGCAAAATGGCGGTCGGCGAGATGCCGCCCTTTGCGCACACCCATGCCTGGGGCAAAGATCGGCCGGAGGCGAGAAGGGCGAGCAGGGCAGGAGTGGAACGTGACATTACACCTGCTGGCCGAGCTACAGCTGCGCAGGCTTGGCGAGCTCACAAAGAACACATACACGAAATCAATTGGCAGTCAGCGGTGGCGACATTCGCTGCTCCTGCTCGCACACACTAAGTTGAAGTGCTTGCAGCCCGGGATCGTCACTTTCACCTCGTCCATCCAAGCGTGCAAGCAGCAATGGGAGGAGTGTGCTGATCTCCTGAACGATATAGGCCAGGAAGGCTTGGAGAAAGACATCATCCTGCTCAGCGCAGCAAGCAGTGCAATCGGAATCGCTAAGTGGCAGGCAGCGGTAACTTGTGTGAGGACAGCGGGCACTTTACGGCTGCAGGCAGATGGACAGAGCTGCAGCTTGGGAATCAGCGCATGTGCCACGGCGGTTCAGTGGAAGGAAGCTCTAGCTGTGCTGCAGGATCTTTGCAGAGGCTTGCAAGCAGATGCAGTCGCCTTTAACGCCGCTATCTGTTCTTGCCAGAACACTGGAAACTGGCAGCAGGCCTTGTGCCTGCTGGTTTTAATGGAGAAGATGGGATTGCGCCCTGAGGTGATATCTTTCTGTAGCACAATGGGGGCATGTATTCAAGCAGCGAGAGATTGGGGGAGGGCCTTGGTGCTTCTTCAGATGCTCGTCAATCACGGCATGCAGCCTACGCAAATTGTGTACAACACTGTTGTGGGTGCTTTGGAATGGCACGGTGCCTGGCAGATGTTGGCAGATCTGCGCAAGAGACGCAGCTTCGACGTGATAACAACAAATGCCACCAGCAGTGCCTGCGCAAGGGCAGGCGCGTGGCGGCGGGCGTTTCTCATAGTGCAGTACATGGGGGACGCCCACGTGAAGCGAGATGCCACAACGCTCAAGACCAGCCAGACCGTCTGCCGGAAGGCTTTGCTGTGGCAGCGAAGTCTTGAAGACTGCCGCCTGGGCCTTCGGAGCCACAAGGGGGCCATGGAGACCTGGAAGCAGGCGCTGAGCGTCGGGACGTGGGCCGCTGCCTTGACTCACGCAGAGGCAGACACAGTCGCTTTGGGGACCGCGATCGGCTTCTGTGCCAAGGGCTCCGAGTGGTCCCGGGCACTCGAGTTTTTGAGGGGAGCACAGATCCTCGCAGTTGTCGTGAATGAGATCATGCTCAACTCCGGCATCCACGCATGTCAGAGGGCCGGGTGTGGCCATCAGTGGCCTGCGGCCCTGAATTTGTTCAGAGCGATGACAGCATGCCGCGTGAGCTGGGACGAGGCCACCTGCGTTTCCCTCATTGCTTCTGAGGACGGCCAGTGGATGCGTAGTCTTCGATGTCTGAACCATTTCGAGATGTGTGCGAGGCATGGTTCGATCGCTGCATTTAACGCTGCAGTCGGGGCTTTGGCTGCTTGTGGTGGATGGTGCCGGGCAGTGTCGTTGTTACAGGCTACTGCAGGCAGGCTCCAAGCCAACGAAGTGACCTTCAACACTCTCATCAGCTGTCACAGGCGAGCTCGCTGGCAGTCGGCATTCTCCATATTGAGATCCCTACCACAACGGTCACTGCTGGCATCGCTGCCCGCTTACAGCGCGACGATAAGTGCTTGTGGGAGGGTCGGAGATTGGCAGTGGGGCATGCTTATGTTGGACAAGCTTGATGCAAGTCGCATCAAGACCGACAGCATAGCCTTCAACGCACTGATCAGCACTTGTGAGAAGGCTTCGGACTGGCAGCGTGGACTTAGCATTCTTGACCTAATGACTTCCCGGTCCATTGAGGCATCTGTAGTGACGTACAATGCTGCAATGAGCGCGTGTGGGAAGGCAGAGAAGTCGCAAGTCGTTCTTGAGCTGCTTCATCATCTTGAAGACACCTCGATGCTTGTGGATGTGGTCAGCTACAACGTTGCCATGAGCGCTTTCGGCCTTGCCGGCCGCTGGTGCAGAGCCCTTCAGATGCTGGCAGCCCTCTCCCAGCCAACCCGGCCTCAGCCCTCTGCCGCCTCCTTCGGAGCAGCGGTCTCTGCTTGCGCCATTGCAGCACAATGGAAGCAAAGTCTGCTGCTCTTCATAGAGGCAAACAGCCGGTCCTTGTCAACAGTCATCACGCTCAGTTCTGCTTTATGCGCATGCGTCCGTGCGCAACAGTGGAACTGGTCTTTGTGGCTTCTTGAAGCTGCTGAACGCTTTAAGACTTCTCCGGACATCGTTACATGCATTCCAGCGGTTGCTGCCTGTGCGGCTGGCAATCGCCGGCATGCCACGGTATTAACGCTTGCAAAGCTGACGTCGCGAACGCATGAACACCTGCGACGAAAACCCCCAGCAGTGCTCGTCTAGCCTTTGACCTGTGGGCCTGGGTGCTGCCAGTATCCGCGTGGTCCAAGCACGTCTCAGCATTCGTACTTCGAGCGGTGTGCCTAGGCCACGCCAGCCCCACCAGTGGGCCCTGCCATTGGGGCATTCGGCTTGAACATCGCCATGTTCGTGAAGGTCTTGATTGCTGTTTGAGCTCCTCAGTTCTCCTTGTCTGCTTGAGAGGAGTACAATGCTTTGACTGCAGACAAGGCCTGTCCCCGGCCCTCAGCCTACCAAGCCTACACCTCTCGTAGTTGGACTACAGAAAGCTCTCCGCGGCAGGTCGGCCAGACCTGCCCTTGCATCGTCCATGCCACTTGGTCCATACAATGAACCTTAGGACCAAGGGTGGAACGCAAGAAGCCGAAAGCCGTCTGTCACGCAAAGGTGATGAGCGACAAGAGCTTCAAGATCGAGCTCAAGACACCGCTCACAGCCGCACTGCTTCACAAGGTGCTTGGCAATTGCTTTGTGAACGTTGGACTACAGCCATCAGACTGTTCATTCTTTTCCAGTTCCGGCAGGCCGTGAATAAACAAAAAGGCTCTGGCAAAGCAGGCCCAGCCATACCGGTCTGTCGAGTTGTACATGTACAGCACAGATACGCTGATACTTGCACATGCGCGGGCCCAAGGGGCTTCTGGAACCCACCGTGTACCCAAATGGATGAGGATTGGAGCTTGATGCCAGTCGCTGTGTGCTGCACGCGGCCTTGCGACAGCTTCCCTGTCCGACGCATGTGCGTACTGTGCTCTTAGCTTTCCAGCAGAAGTCACTGTATGAGTTGGTGTGTTTGGGCGCAAACATGGTTGAAGCAATGTCTCAGATGTAGCATACATGATGTATATATAGGTCGGCAAGAAGAGCACCCGTGACTTTCTTCCCCAGCCCTCCGGACTTTCGCAGGGCAGAAGTGGTTTGGGCATCTTTGGAGAGCTTCGAGCAACCGTTTGCTGTTCTGTACAGGGGCGGGATTGCTGTTCTGTACAGGGGCGGGAATGGTCTAGATTTCAGTGGGCCCCTGCGCCTGTTTGCAGCCTTGTTGAGGCCGGCAGTTAATCTGGAGCATAGAGGAGAACAGTGAGGATAATTAATGTCCGCGAGCACGCGGATGTGGGTTCGTGTGTGTGCCTGCTGCTTCGGAACACACCGATGCATAGACGTGCGCATGCCTCCAGTTTCCTTTCAATTGTGCGACAGCTCCACCGTTCAGGCACAGACATCATCGGTAGCATCACCATCGAAAAGTTGGAAGAGATTGCGAAGTTGAAGCTGCCGGACTTGAACTGCGAGGCTCCGGCCAGCGAAGGGCTTGAGGAGGTACTCGTATGCAGGTATCGGGGTAGCTGCAGGTATCGGCTTCAAGGGTGCATGAAACGGTGTCGTGTATGGGCATTTGTGGTCAAGCAGTGGGTCGAGGGACCCCGTGTTCTGATACGTGATTCTCTGGAGCGGACCCGTGCTCCGGAGCGCATCACAGCTTGATCCCTTAGAAATCCGATTAGGGGTTCTACCATTGGGAGAACGGGCTTCGAGAGCCTTGAAGCATCCTGCGAGGACATCACCCGAGCCATGAAGATCGTGCATGGAACGGCTGTGGCCTCTGGCATCAAAGTCGAAGGCTACGAGGAGTGGATGGAGACTGCTGTGGCCGTGCTGCAAGCAGCATGAACTATACGGCAGTGTGTGCCAAAGTCGACAGATTTTTCGGGAAGGCAGCATCCACCCCAAACCTTGCAGAGCCTCAGGTGCCGAAGCCAAAGACAATCATGGACAGATACGGTCCAGGTGCTCTGGTCTTCTTGACGTCAACTTTGGGAAGATTCCATGTAGAGCTTACACTGCTCGGGCTTGGGACCTATACCTAATCGGTGCAGAGAACTGGATGGTCATCTGAAGCGAAAACTTGCAACAAACAGTGCGGGTGCGCAAGACAAGCACTCGTGCAGTCCTCCGTCCAAGATGTCAATTTGGAGTCCGGGTGCACACCACTACTACCACTACTACCACTACTACCACTACTACCATTACTACCACTACTACTACGACTACTACTACTACTACTACTACTACTTCTACTACTACCGCTATTACTTCTACTACTGCTACTGCTACTGCTACGACTACTACTACTACTACTACTGCTACTACTACTACTACTACTACTACTACTACTACTACTACTACTACTGCTACTGCTACTGCTACTGCTACTGCTACTGCTACTGTGTTGATGCCCAAAGACATCTCCCTGTAAAGTTCGTGTCAACCCTAGTGGAGCTGGGGATGAATGTCGTGGAACCTTGATGTATGTTTGATGTTTCAGCGGATGGCCCAAGGGGCTGAATCGGCGTTTGCCATGATCGGCAGAAGCCTCACGTTGAACACGACTAGCAGCAGACAGCAAGGCACTACTTGACTTAGGCTATGCACAGATGCGCCTAAGTACCTTGCAGGTTTGTGCTGTACGGCGAGAAACAATTCGGTGCGCGAGCCATGTCCTGCTTCCTGTGACCTGCGGTCTCTCCTGTTTAACCACGATACTGAGAAGAAGACGGCACGACTTAGGGTCCAGAGGGGCTGCTGAGTCGCTACAGACTGCAACTCCGGTTATGGAGGGAGAGGAAACGGGGCCAGGATATGGGGACTTCAGCAAGATGATCACCGGGCGAACGTTCCGGGACAAGGCGATGGGCGGGCCCGTGGAGACCAACCCTTGATGAATGGAGTTGACCATCCGAGGATGGAGGCTGTTCGTGAGAGTCCGCCACAGGAAGCGGCCCCGCGGATGGCGGACCATGCTTCGGGCGGTGGCAGGCTTCGTCAAGAGGTGGAGACCAGAGGACCTGTTCAGTCGGATTTGGAAAGGCCTGCGGAGCCCACAAGGCCAGTTCTGGAACCGGATGTAAGACCTGGTGAGGAGAGCGAGTTCGTTTCAGTCACAGCGAGTCCTCCGTCGCCGCGAAGGGCGAGAGCCCCACTGGGATCCACGATGGATCAACCGAATCGGGCCGAGCGTACGGTGGCGATGGAATATTCGTATGAGGCTGCGGAAGGTCTACCGGCAGTTCGCTGGGTTGCACGACTGACTGAGTTTTTACGAGCCACAACTACGAGGACGAGTGGGTTTCAGGGCCGGGTTATGGAAGGTTTGGGCTTTCTAGGATCCCAGGCAGCGACCCCGGCAGCTCAGCAGCAACAACAACAACAACAGCAGCAGCACCAGCAGCGAGATCTTTATCCGGCGACTTTCTCTCCTATAAGAAGGATTGGAGATTTGAATTTCTCTCCTCCTGAAGAGTTCCCTCCGCCCCAGCAGCGGTTTCAGGTACCACTGAGGTCACTTGAGCAGGGACCAGCGCCTCTGTTCACACCGGAGCAGAACGCGAGGCTGAGGAGGGGGCCAAGGGATGCGCCTTTGTTGTTTCCACCCGAAGGAAGCTCGACGTCCTCGGATGAGATTCAAGCTGAGGTCCAACGACAGCTGGCTCGCTACGTTCAAAGGTACGAAGGAGAAGCTAGAGACCTCAGAGGGCAAGTTCAGCAGCTACAGTATGAAAGAAATCAGTTACTTGCTGATCGGGCGAGACAACAAGGACTACCTGACGGTGATCGGGCAATGCAACAGAATCTACCTGGAGGTGATCGGGCAATGCACCAAGGATCGGGCAATGCAGCAAGGACTACCTGGAGGTGATCGGGCAATGCACCAAGGACTACCTGGACGTGATCGTGCAATGAACCAAGGACTACCTGGAGGTGATCGGGCAACGCAGCAAGGACTACCTGGAGGTGATCGGGCAATGCACCAAGGACTACCTGGAGGTGATCGTGCAATGCAGCAAGGACTACCTGGAGGTGATCGGGCAATGAACCAAGGACTACCTGGAGGTGATCGGGCAATGCAGCAAGGACTACCTGGAGGTGATCGGGCAATGCAGCAGGATCTACCTGGAGGTGATCGTCTCACAATGCAGCAAGGACTACCTGGAGGTGATCGTCCCACAATGCAGCAAGGACTACCTGGAGGTGATCGTCCCGCAATGCAGCAAGGACTACCTGGAGGTGATCGTCCTACAATGCAGCAGAATCTACCTGGAGGTGATCGGGCATACGACCAGAGCCGTGAAGCAGAACAGGTACCAGGAGTCGCTAGCTCCAGTCATGGTGTCCCGACGGGTCGTGTTCATGAAGGCTCCGAAGAGAAGGACACGACTCATCTGGATCTCCTGGGGGTCATTGCGCAGGGAATGAAGCAGCTTCAGGAAGCGCAGGTTCGTGCCTTGGACCGAAAGTCAGAAGGGACGGACCCAGAGACGGTGAAGCCTGGAGTAACGGCGCTTCCGGAGCTCAAGGCTCCAGATCCCGAGACTTCTCCGGTGGAGGTTCAGGACTGGTTGCAGCTTCTACAAGCCCCGATGGCGGATTTGAGCGACAGCTCCCACGACTGGTGGACCAAGGTTCAAGCGCAGCCCAGAAAGGGTATGAGCAGTGGTCAAACGCCACACCACTGGAGCATCTGGCGATGAAGGCCCCGGTGGACAAGAAGCTCGAGGAGGGCAAGTTCGCGAGGCTGAATTCGAGGGCGGCGTCCATGTTATTGGCCTCTCTGGACGGTTCGGTCAGAGCCGACTTGGTGATGAGGCGTTCCATTCAGTCGGCAACGCAGATACTGTACCGAGTGCTCACCCTATACCAGCCGGGCGGCGAGACCGAGAAGAGGCTGGTCTTGGACCAGGCTCAAACTGAGCCCTTCAAAGCTGCGAAGTCGTTGCGGGATTGGGAAAGGTGGTTCAGGCGAGCTGGCGACGTAGGCGTCTCGACGCCAGACCCGTCGGTGCTTTTGAGAGCCTTGTCGGTCATCATGCAGGGAGTCTTGGATGGCAATTCAGAAGCTGCGTTCCGCACATCCTTGGTGCGCACGACGCTGAAGCTCGATACGAAGCCGACGCATGATTCAGTGATTGCTTTTCATAAGCACTTGTTGGCTGAAGCCGAAGCTTTGGCCAGTGGATCAAAGAGGTCTTCGGCAGCGTCTTCGACACCTGATGCTTCAAGGACACCGACCTCTGAGAAGGGTCCCAAGGTCAAGGGAATGCAGGCGCAGGGGCCGGGAGACCAGCCAGCTCCGAAGCCCAAGGCAGCACCGTCGACCTCCTCTACTACAACCTCCACCCAGAGGCCATGCAAGTGGTTCGCTAAGACGGACGCAGGCTGCAAGCGCGGGGGAGATTGTCAATTTGCCCATGAGTGGGGATCGGTACCCCCCCACCTGATGCGTGTGAACGACAAGCACCAACGAACTTCTTTGATGCTTGGGAAAGGCCGGTCGATGTTTGATCTGCTCGGCAACCTCCCACATGAAGAAGGACTGCCCCACCAAGGAGAAGCCTGCCCAAGGAGCTCAAAGGCCAAGGGGTGATCAACCGCAGTCTGCTTCAGCTACCGCAACAGGAGCACCATCGGCTCGGACTATGAACGCCCCGACGGAGTCAGGAACGTCCTCTATTACAACCCAGCCAGCGGCAGAGCCATCTCCGTCCACCTCACCAACTGGCCGTGGAAGGCAGCCAAAGGAAGGAGATGGACCGGAGGCCCTCAAGAAGGCCAGCTGGGGTTTGCCTGCCTCAACCTCCTCTTCTTCGGCCCCAACGTATGAGTCGATACAGAGACAGCTGGATGAGCTGAAGCTGAAGACAATGAAGGTTGACGGAACCCGGGAAGCTCCAGGGACCGAGGACTCAGGTGTCCTCCTGGACTCAGGCGCGACCCATGTCCTGCGCCCTGCTCGAGATCGTTGTGAGGAGGACAACACCAAGGCAGTTTGTGTAACCCTGGCGGGAGATGAGCAACGGATTCTGAAGCAAGCTCCCTCGGGCAGCATTTTGCTGGCGGCGGAGGACAAAGACCGAGTGCAGCCCATCGTACCCTTCGGTGCCATGATCGACATTCTCGGCTGCACTCTGAGGTGGACGAAGGGAGGATTTACTTTGATTCATCCGCGGCATGGACGAATCAGGACGCGGTTGCGTGCAGGATGTCCGGAAATGACCGATGCGGGTCAGGCGGCGGAGATCATCGCGGAGCTCGAGATGAAGAAGGTGGAAGAGCTGAAGCAACGGGCAGAAGGCCTCCAGCAGAAGCTCAACGCGGTGAGAATGATGGAAGTGAACAAGGAGGATTGGAGGCAGAACCTCGCCGCCTACGCTCAGGAGGGGTGTGTGGTGGATGGCCTACAGGTTCTGTTCAAGTCCCCCATCTTCAAGGACCTTCCGGAGGCCGTGACCGGGACGATGGTCCCCAATGTGGAGGTCACGGATGAAAAGGGGTGGGAGTACTTGAAGGGCCTCCCGCTATGCAGGCGTCTTCGCAAGCGACTGATGAGGTCGAGGGCTTGGATTTTGAACATGTATGGAGGAACCAAGGTGAACGCGGACCCCATCCAAGCTCTCACGGGCCAAATCAACCCAGGCACAAACACTGAGGTCGTGGTCGTGAACGTTGATGTTGTGTTGAATGGTGGATGGTCAATGATGGGGCCAGCCTACAAGGCCCTGATGTGGGGAGCGATGTCTTCGAGAGTGAAGGCCGTCTTGGGTGCCCCGCCAGCGGGCACGTTCAGTCTGAAAAGGCATGAAGATCGACCCGGTTATCCAGGCCCGGTTCGGTCCACCAAGGAGCCCTACGGCCTCTCGGACCTGAACCCTACGGACCGGTACTATGTGGATAAGGAGACCACTTTGGTGGCTCGACAACTCATGCTGTACCTGGTCGCCCATGCAAAGTCT